TAAATGCTTTCCTTATTTGTTTTTCCTTTTTTCCTTTGTTCTTTACTTTCTAGTGTTAGGATATTAGGATGGTGGGACTCCCTGGTCTGGTTTTCTTTTCTTTAAAAAAAAAAAATGGATTTATTTTAAATTACGTGTATGTGCTCACGTGCCACAGACACACACACGTGAATGCAGGTGTCAGAGGAGGTCAAAGGTCTCCTGGAGATCACCCTGGAGCTGAAATTACAGATGGCTGTAAGCTATGTGATGTAGGTGCTGGGACCAGTCATCTGCAGGAGCAGTTTGTGCTCTTAGGCTCAGTGTGTAGGGCACTTACCACGTTAAGTGTGAAGAACAGAGCATGTGAGGACCGGAGTTCCAATCCAGAACCAGTTTGTACAACGGGAGGGCATGATGACTCATCTATAATTCCAGCGCACAGGTGGTAAAGATGGGATCTCCAGGGCAAGCTGGTTGGCTGGACTAACCGGAATTGGAGAGTTTTGGGTTCATCGAGAGATCCTGCTTCAATGTATAAGGTGGAGAGCAATTGACAAATACATTTGATGTCAACCTTGGTCCTCTATACACATGTGCACACACAAGTATGCCCACTCCACATGTCCACACATGAAAACACACACACACACACACACACACACACACACACACACACACCACACATACATACACCAAAAGTTTCTTTAATGCTTCTAACAGGCCACCTCATTTGTGAATGAATTATATTCTTACCCCGTTAGTTATATCAGCAACCTGCCCTTTATCCTCATGTTTATTATTTTATTTTAACGATATGGTACGTGGATTTTTTTTCTTCCTTATAGTTTTATGTTTATTGAGTGCCCCACCTCCACTTTAAGACATAGTCTCACCGTAGCTCAGGTTGGCCTTGGATAAACTTCGGATCCTTCTGCTACCTCTTAACCAGAGCTGGGGGATTCCTGGTGTGCACTACTATCACATCTGTTTCACGCTGTGGTGGTGGGGGATCAAACCTAGGGCTTCAAACATGCTAGGGAAGCACTCTACGAACTGAGCGACATATCCAGCCCCGACTTTGAGACGTGTAGCCCAGGCTGGGTCTTGAACTCCACATGTACTTGAGGTCGATCACCCTTCAGGATCCACCTGCATCCACCTCCCAAGGGCTGGAACTACAGGTGTGCCACTAGGGCAGGTTTGTGATGGGCTGGAGTTGGAACCCCAGGCTGTATGCACATGCTGGCAGGAATTCTAACTGGGCTACATCCCGGGGGGGGGGGGGGGGGGGGGGATTGGAGACAGGACCTCATGGTAGCACAAGCTGTATACAATTTTCTAGAGGGGCCTTATGCCACAGCATATTGTAGTTATCACAAAACAAGGGGTGTCAAGAATCTCCCCGTGGCACTGGCAAGAGTGGAGACCCGAACCAGAGACCCGCAGAGCCAGACACCGCCCTAAACTTGGTCACGCCCGGGACGCATTAGCGTGCCAAGATGGCGGACGCCCCGCCCCGCCCTGCCCCGCCCCGCGGCCCTCCGAGGCGCGATCGCCGGCCGGAGCCGAGTGCTTCCGAGCTTTCCCGAAAGCGCGTGGAACCCAGGAACGGAGCGGGCGGGAGCGGCCCCGCCCGGAGCCTGGGAGCTGCGTCGACAGCACCGAGGGGGAGGGGAGGCCGGATGTGAGTGGAGCGGCCATTTCCTGTTTCTCTGCAGTTTTCCCCAGCTTTGGGTGGTGGCTGCCGCTGTGCTTCGCCTTCCAGTCCGCTGAGGGCCCCGGCGGCGTGGACAGCGGTCCC